GAAGGACTGGCGAGAATGATGACCATCATCGTTGAGGTGTTTGGGGAGTTCGGGCTAACGGTGTCGGAGGAGAAGACAGAGACGCTCCCGATGCGCGCAAAGGACAAGCCGACTACAACATCACAGAACGCCCCGCCTCCACCGCTGACCATCGAAGCCGCGGGACAGAAATACGCCCAGACGACCGAGTTCCGGTACCTCGGTGGCCTCGTCAACGAACATGGCGACCTCACCCGGGAGATCAACTACAGGAGCAGAGGAGCGTGGGCGTGCCACAGGCGATATGGCCGGGAGCTCTTCGACACACCGCAAGCGCCATCCCGACTCAAGGTCCGCCTGCTCCAGGCGGAGGCGATGGAGGCACTGCTGTACGGTTGCATGACATGGTCACCACTCAGCGGCCACTATCAGACGCTGCGGTCGATACACCACCGACTGCTCCTTCGAGTTATCGAGTACAAGCGCAAGAAAGACACCTACCGGCAGCTCTCTTACGCCCAGACGCTGAAGAGGGTCGAATGCCAGAGCGTTGAAGCCACGATCCGACAACGACGCCTACTGTTCGCGGGAGCATTGGCAAGGCAGCCGGACGGGCGACTCCCGAAACGACTGATGCTCGGCAAACTGGCAGGGGGGAAGAAGCGACGTAAGGGGGGACAGGAACAGAACTGGCCGAAGCGCATGCTCGACGATCTGAAGGCATTCGGGGCCGACCACGGGTCTACGAAAACCGATCCATGTTGTCTCGGAATCTCGGTACCGAAAGACACGGCACCGAAGTTAAAGTGGACGGAAGCCGCGAAGGTAGAGGGGGGAGTACCCTGGCATGCTCAGGGAGCTGAGAGGTTCATGACCTCCTGGCACGAGAAGGAAGAAGAGGCCAGCCGACAACGGGCGCTCAAACGAAACCACAAGCCACCAACCAATGGGGCGGGAGGGCGGCAGGAGACGGACGAGACGGTGAGGGAAGAAAGCAAACGAAACGAGACGGACCGAGTGGCGCGATACGTGCCGGATTGAATTTATTTTAGCCAATTCCCCCCCCCTCAACGCTGCACCATTGCACCAACCCCCCACTAGTGATGACGTACCATTACAATGTATCGCTGGTTGGTGGCCATGTTTGCGTGTTTGCTTGCCGTTAGTGGTCACTCCACCGTGAGCCTTTTTCTGTCGTTTGTTTCTTGTTATTTTCGGCCTGGTCCCTTTTTGTCCTCGCTCTTTTGATTTCATTTTCTCTTTCCTTACTGTTTCTTTTATTTTCCTCTCTTTTTCTCTTTTTCTCTCTTTTTCTGTGCCAGATGGCCTTGTCTCTGCTTGCGTTGTGACGTACCAAGATTGAACCAAGGGAGTGTACCTCATTCTCTCCGGCCCGTGATGGTGACCCCTAGTCTCAGTTGTTACCTCGTATAGCGCGCAGAGGGAGTGGAGGACTCCAGAATATCTGTCGTTGATTTCTATTGACTTGCGAACCCCTCGGGGCCATTTTATTTGAGTGCAACTTATTAGGGTAAGTTAGCCTGCGACCACGGGAATCGACCGCGTCGAGTGTTGGATCAGTACGGATATACGAAGGTACTGGGTAGAGAGAGATCGGAACGTTTTTTTATGTGAAGACAACAACAACCCTCGCTTCGGATACACTCGTCGATTACACCCAACACATACACATGCATAAGAAGAATAAAAGGGACTTTGCCCCTCAGTGTGTATCGGTGGGAATTCGGTGGAGGGCATAACGGAGTAGCGACGTGCACGCCCGCACGCCGAGGGATCTGATGCCATTGGGGGCGCGTCCTGTCGACGGCCTTCCGTGCGGTCCAACTTTTGACAGCGAGTTTTTGTCTCGGTCGTGCTGTATGATGCATACCATTCACGATCTACTGCTGAATGCACCATCACAGATCCAGTGCCCACAACTCCCGGTCGCCCAAGGAATTGTGGTGTGGGCTATACCGCTGGTCACCCGCAGTGGGTGTGCGTGGCGGTGCGTGCAGAAGTGGATTGTGAACGGCATGTGAATCAGATCTGTTTCGAGTGGCATTTTATTCGCCGCAGCTGCAGCCTGTAGTCTAAGCTGCAGCCTGTAAGGCCCCAGCGACAGATCTCCGGCGTGCCGACAACGCACACCTCGTCATCCTGTCGAACCCCATCGCTGCTGTGCAACACAGAGAGAACTACTGTTGTAAGGATCACACAACACAAACATCCTTCCCGAAGTACATACCGCTATATTGACTGTACCACGATGGAGAGAAAATACGCACGACCAGCAAGCCCGTCAAGCAAGCAAGCACGCACGACATCATCTTTCCGATTCTGTCTTCGTGATTCGTTTGTTCTCGGCGAGGGTCACTCAGCTCGAGCGCGGATCGCATGCTGTTAGGTGGATGATGGTGACAACCTTCTCTACTAGAATGCAGTGTAGACTTCGTGTTTTGCGGTGTGGAGGTAGATGTGGCTTCAGGAGTATCCATCTCGCCGTGTTGCTCGTCTTTGTGGACGACGAACGAAACACCCCACAAAGGAAGGCGGTTGCTATCGCGGCATAATTGTGCTTGTTGCCGTCACATGCATGCGCGGATGCATGCCAGTAGCACACACACCATGCGCGAGGAGAAAGCAGCGAACCTGCCTGGCTTGCTTCTCGTGTGTGTGGCCTTTGCGCCTGATGCGACAACCAACAACGCGGCGTCGTGCGCCCGACAACCTAAAAAATCAACGCGCGTGTGTCTCCTCACCTCTTGTTGAGAAAGGTTGGCATACACGATCCGGGTTCCTGAGAAGCAACTTCCCGCGGTGTTGGAGACGCTGTCGAGCGCGGAGAGAGCAGCGGCTCGGTTCGGCTCTTCCGCGGTGTAAAGCACCAGGCCGGCATTCTTGAGGGTCAGGGGCGAGCACCTGGTGGGCCATCGCTCCAGGGACCGCACGGCCCTGGCGAGGTCTCCATCGTAGATCGGAACGACAATACCGAGACGTTGCTGCTGCTGCTGCGACTGCTCGTGGCGAAGATATTGATCCTCATGCTGCTTCGCGTACGTGACGGCGGGTAGGGCCGCAGCTGCTGCCGCCAAACAACTTTCTGTCCAACGACAACAACGCATGTTTTCGAAAAGCCGCCGGCGGACTGTTGCTGTGCGGTGCCGCAGAACACGAGGGCAGGTGTAGCTGTGGTGAGGAGGAGGTAGCTGGATAGAGAAATAATTTCTTCATCCACCTCTGATGTTGAAAGATCTTGTCGAGAACCAAAATGAACGTATGCATACCCCGCGGTCCGCAAACTGCCGTGCGGCTTTCCGGTGAACTGGATAGAAACACTTAAGTGACAATCACGAGGGGATGCATTCACCCATCCATCCGTGATGATTGCTCGAGCTCTGTGATAAAATCGAATGGGGGCTTGCCACAACCACAGCAGTCAGTTGTCACGCTCTCCTATCTCGACCACATGCATATTTCATTTAGGAATGTCCGCCCCAGATGACAGCAGTAGTACACAGCAGTACACCGTAGTACAACGTATCATAGAGTCGTGCAGAAGATTATTACGTCTCATGACTGTCGGAGATCTACCTTCCGGGCGGCGTGTTGGGGCCTGTTGTGTGTTGTCATTAGTCTAATGATTGGTACAATGGACGAAATTGTGCTGCTCCAGTAGTAGTACATACAGCAGGCTTTTTCGTGGTGAGACGTGTATTTAGAACTCTTGCAGCGTAGACTATGTTTGTAGAGCAGACTACACTATCTACACTTTTCAGTGTATTTTTTCGTACAACTAACTGACTGAGCAATGCTACGGTAGGGGGGGCACTTTCTAAGTCATGGATGGGTCACATGCTGTCGCCCGACAAGGTCCATATAAATGCTCCTAAGGACGCACACGGGCCTGTACTT